AGTGATTTCTGGTGAGAGGCTACATTAGGTTGGAACATCATGAGCCCCGCCAGGATCGGGCGCACACTAACACTGGCGAGTAGGGAATACATGGACACCAGCAACAACACAGGGTGGTGCCTCCACCGGGAAGATGATCCTAGAATTCTGTATTTGTGGCAATCGTTCGTCCACCCCGGTGAACGTGTTCTTATTCGGCGTTTCGACACTGGGCGGAGGGGAGAGGGTGGGGGGAGGGGGTCTGGCTCCGGGCATCTGCTTAATGCCACTGTTTGCAGCAGTGCGTCCTATGGGGGAGACCCCACCTGCTCGAAGCAGGCGCCAAAAACAGCCAAGATCTACTCCAGGGGGGGGGGGACTGGCCATCGCTCGGACGTCCATTCCCTGTGTTTTTTTATCGTTTTCTTGCGTGTTTTTTTCGCCAAATGATCAAGGATGCTCCTCGATGGTCCTCGCCGAGGAAAAAACGCACACGTCCGAGCGATGCCAAGGGGAGGGGGCGAGGGCCCTGCGCCGATCGGCACAACAGCGAGTAAGAAAACGATCACCGGGGAGATGGACTTCTGCTGCCACCGTCCCCGAGATCGGGGTCAACTCGCCTCGGCGGAGGCGCGCCGCCGCTACTGCTCTTGGTGCCAGCCTCTGGGCCCCCAATATATATATATATATATATGTATATATACACATGTACACATACATAATATATATATATATACACAACATAAGCACGTAGACAACTATTTACATGTAGTTACAAACATATAGTACATATATTTACACATATATCTATACAACTTTACATGCCATTTATTTATATAAGTATGTATGTACCACATGGATCGGGGAAGGCGCCCCCCCATCAAAACATTGGGCCGGTGCCGCCCGACCTCGCGACAGCGCGACCGCCGAGTCTTGCGCGGAAAGGGGGGCCCGTCGCAACTGGTGGACGCTCTCCTGTTCGGCGCTTCGACGCTGGGCGGAACTCGCCATCGCTCGGACGTCCATTCCCTGTGTTTTTTTCCGGTTTCGTGCGTGGTTTTCGCCGAATGATCAAGGATGCTCTTTGATGGTCCTCGCCGAAAGAAACATGCACACGTCCGAGCGATGCCAGGAACTGGGCGGAAGGGGGGGAAAGCGGGGGGAGGTCTGGCTCCGGACCTCTGGCTTCATGCGACTGCTTGGAACAGGACTCCCGCGGGGAATCCTGGGGGGAGCCGCCCACCTGCTTGAAACAGTCGCCCCAAACCGCCGAGATCTGCAGTCGGGCCGCTGAAAGAAGGAACGCCAAAGAAGGAACGGAGCCCCTTCTTGGCCCTGGGAGCGCCTCCGTGCCCCAGGAGGGCAACGAGGAGCAGCACCGGAGGAGCCCGAGGAACAGCGAGCCCCTGCCGGACTCCAAAGCTGTTCCTTCTCTCGGCGTCTTGACTGTCTGGACCCTTCTCCGCGTGAGCTCCTGTTTCCTGCAGCGCAGAGCGCCAGCGTTTGCCAGCGGCCATACCGCGGTGAGTACACCGGATCTCTTCAGAACTCCGAAGTTAACCACCGCAGGGCCCGCATAGTACTGAGGTGGGGGACCGCTCGGGAAGTGCTTAGGGTGCTGCTGGCTCTTCTGCCGCCATGTTTCTGTGGTGCGCTTGGCCTGTCCATATGCTAGTCTGCGCGTCTACTGTACTCCATCGGGGGGGAAAGGGGGCGGAGGGGCGCGAAGGCCCGCACCGATCGGCAGTCCAACGATCAGGACGACGACCGCACGTCCAGGCGCTGGGCCCTCCTCCGGGGAGCCAGACAACGTTGTGAGCCTCAACGTTTCGAGGGTCCGCGCGGACGTTTCGGATCGGCGCTGGGCCCCCCTCCAAGGAGTCAGACAACGTTGTGAGCCTCAACGTTTCGAGGGTCCGCGCGGACTCCTACCACGAAATGTTCCTAGAGCACAAAAATGTCCTCACAAAAGCAATGTTCTTAGAACATAGGCCCGATGTATAAAAACAGCAAGACGGTCCAAGCCAGAAAAGCTCTAAGAACATTTCGTGGAAACCTCAAAGGTTCTTAGAACATTGTTTGGTAGGGCTACAGGCGAGCCAAGCCGCTTCGCCACTGCTTGAACATCCGCGCACCCCTCCGCCGCCCGCCACCCGCGGGCTCGCCCCCGCCCCGCTCGGCGCACCCCGAGCCCAGGGATCGGTGCATACACCAGGACGAGAAGCCAGGACGAGGCTGAAATCGGGTGGGGAGAACTCTTGTCGGGGATGGACAGACCCCCCTTTAGCAAAACGTGGTTTAGTGAAAACGATCTGAGGCCCAAACCTGGCGGGCGCAAGACTGGAAGATTGCGGCCACGGCGCCCTCTCGAGAACCGAAAACGGACAATTCACTAATCGACGTGTCACTGTTGGGGTCGCTCGGACCTCCATTTCCCGTGCATTTTTCGGTTCCGTGCGTGTTTTTTTTGCTCGATGGGCCAGGATGGTCCCCGATGGTTCTCGCCGGGGAAAAATACACACGTCCGAGCGATGCCAAGGAAAGCCAGGGCGAGGCTGAAATCGGGTGGGGAGAGCTCTTGGGCCCCGCTTGATGGGGGGCGGGCGATAAGTGGGGGGGGGGGAAGAGAGAGAACTCGTGGGCCTCGCTTGTCGGAGGGGGGCAAGCACCCCGTTGGTAAAGTGTGGCCTGGTGAGACCCGCCTCGGGCCCAGACCCGGCGGGCGCACGCCTGGAAGAGGACGGCCGCAGCGCCCTCGAGAACAGAGAACGGACGATTCACTACTCGACGTGTCGGGGTGGGGGTTCTGTCCATCCCCCGAGCCTAATGGGGGGCGGTGAGCGGGGGGAAGAGAGGCGCACTCTTCGGGCCCTAGAGGCTTCGCTTGGGGCCCGAGGATCCCCCCCCCCAACGTCGAGAATCTCTGAGATCCGGCGGCTCTGGAGGATGCCTCGGGCGCGGCGGCCCTCTTAGAGCACTCCGGAACGCTCTCGGAACGTTCGGGAGCGCTCGGGAACGGGTTTGCCCTCGTCCTAGCCCTAGGTCGGGCACGTCCCTCCACAGGAGAAATATCTCAAAACAGTCCAAAACAGAAAGTCTGGGGACACCTTTCTACGATTCTGTCAAGTTTGGAATATGTGCTGACTATTTGTAACTTTTCTTCGAAGATCCTAGCCCCGCCCGATGCACGCCCTCCTGGCTTGGCCACGGAGGCACGACTAGAGGCCCCCTAGATGGGGTCGGAGTAGATGGGATTGGAGTAGATGGTGTCGGAGTAGATGGGGTCGGAGTAGATGGGGTCGGAGGATCGCGCCGCATCGCCGATACATCGGCGATGCATCGGCGATGCATCGGCGACGCGCCAGTGATGCATCGTCGACGTCGGCGGTGCATTGGCGACGTCGGCGTGAAGCCAATCGGGCTCCGCATCGAGCCGCATCGGCGATGCGGAGCGATCCTTCGACCCCAGCTGCTCGGACCCCATCCAGGAGGCCTCGAACGACGGCGCCGAGCCTGGGCACGGGACCGGCCCGGCCGGGGTCGGCAGGATGCTCCGCTGGCGTTAGGTCGGGCCTGTCCCCCTGCAGGGGGACGTCGGGGGCGAAAAATACAAAATACCCTCCAAAATATTCCAAAATTGTCAAACATAGTCAAAACACCGTCCCCTGGCCATTTTCTTCCGTTTTTGAATATTCCCCCTGTAGAGGGAATCTCCCGACTTCACGCTGGCGTCCCCCCACCGTGCCCCCTTCTCGGACTCGGGCGCGGCGCCGCGCGCGCCGTGGCGCCTCAGAGGGGGGCGCGGCGGAGGGGGAGGCCGACGCGCCGGCAGGGAAGGAATGGCCAAATAAGAAGCGCGCGTATTTGCTAAGCGTCGGGACGAGAAGGAGGAGGAGGAGGAGGAGGAGGAGGAGAAGGAGGAGGAGGAAAAGGAGGAGGAGGAGGAGGAGGAGAAGGAGGAGGAGGAGGAGGAGGAGGAGGAGGAGGAAGAGGAGGAGGAAGAGGAGGAGGAGGGGGGAGGAGGAGGAGAGGAGGAGGAGGAAGGGGAGGAGGAGGAGGAGGAGAAGGACGACGAACGCAGCAGCCTCGAGCTGATGTTTGGCCAACGTCAAGAGAAGGAGGGGGAGGAGGAGGAGGAGGAAGAGGAGGGCGGCAAAATCGCCGTGCTCCCGTGCCCGCTCCATCCCCCCGCTCACCCCGCCCCGCGCGGCGCGCTGGGCGCGGCGGGAAGTCCCGCTTGAAACGCCACCGGATGCAGTTCTCCTCGGCCCGGATGCGGGGGCCGCCCAGCAACGGCGGGCCGACGCCGTCGACCACGACGACGGTCGCGACCCAGTGGCGGCGACGACGATGACCAGCGGAAACGACGACGACGACGACGACGAGGACGGCGACGAGGAGGACGAAAAAAACCGCATATCGCTCGGCTCGCAGCGGGGTTTCGGCCGCAATGCCTCCACGAAGAGACCGAAGACGCGGACTGAGAGGACCTCGGAAGGCTGACGGGGCGCTCGTGTTACCATGTGGGCGCCTTGCAGGCACCACTTCAGCCGGTGGGCCCAATGGGGCTGTGGCAGGTTCGCACCGTGACAGCCCAAACGCTGGTTTCTGCCCATCGCGTGGATCCTTCAACCTTGAACGGGCGGCTGCTTTCTGGTCGCCAGATCTGGGTCACTGGCGGCGCTCAACCTCGAATGTCCGCGCTGGGGTCGCAGCCGCAGCGACGCGACAAAAATATATAAGAAAAACGAAAGTAACATGAACTTTTGGCGCTCCGCGCGGAATTCTTGGATCCGCACTGGGCCCCCCTCCCTGGCGCTCGGAGCGCGCCAGGGGCGGCGCCGGAGGCGCCGCCGGAGATGCCCAGCGCGGACCCAAGAAAACTGAGCGGAGCGGCAACAAATAATGTTTATGCCCTTGTTCTTCTTCGACTAACGTGGCCCCCCGGGCGCACCAAATTCCCCCACGCCTCCCCTCAGGGCACCGCCAGGCGGCCAAGGCTACCCGGGCCTTTATTAGCGGTCAAGGCACAAGCGTCGGGGCCCTCCGTGGACTCGAAGCAGCAGCTTGCGCCGGCGGGGCCTGTAGCCATGCCGACGCGCCGCCATCGAGAGCCCCGCGTGCGTGGCCCCCTCGAAGGCCCTGGAGAAGCCCAGGAGCGTGCTCATCGACTCCAGGCGGAGGGCGCGCGCGGGGTCCCTGTCGAAAGCCCACAAGGACCTCGCTCAGGGCTCTCGGGATGAATGCGGTCGCCTCGATCACGTGCAGCATCAACCCCAACGTTTTTTTTAGCTCCACGCTCTGTCCGCCACGTTTAGCCAGGCACCCTACGGCGGGGGGAGGGCGCCAGCAAGAAATCAGCCCCAGAGCGCAGAGCACGTCGGCGCTGAGATTCAAGGCGTCGACGCCGCATGCCAAGCCCGCCTTAAAGGCCGCTGCCGCGGCGACGATCTCCGGGGGAGGCGGTGGCGGCGGCGGCGGCAGCTCCAAGAGGGTCTCGGCGGCACGTCCTCCAGGTCGAACGGCTCCAGCTCCCCGAACCTCCACGTGACCTGGTCATTGGCCTGCAGAGCGTCGAGGGCAGCAGGCGCAACGCTCTCTTTTGGACGCCCGAAATGGGTACGGAAAGAATGGGCACAGTGCCCAACAGCAAATGCTGTCCCGAACCAACAGCAGCCGCTGTTGGGCAGGCGGCCTTCTGTCTCGAATGGACACAGGCCGCGGCGGCGTGGACAGCGAACCCTGTCCAAAATGAACAAGAACTGCTGGTGGGCATTGTACCCATTCTTTCCGTGCCCATGACAATGTCGGGCGTCCAGATCTCTGTCGGCGACGTCGGGCGCCCGGCCGCGAGGGGCCCTTGCAGAGGCCGCGGGCCGCGCCAGGCACCGTCCGCGGCCGACTCCGCGGGGCCCACTGGGTGCCCGGGCGCTCCCGTGCCCGGCGGGCCTCTCGAAGCAGCGCGCGCGCGGGCGGCCGCCGCCGTGCCTGTCAGCGCCAGGAGTAAGTCGGGCCTGTCCCCCTACAGGGGGATTTCGACGAACAAATACCCCCAAACATACTCCAAAAGGGTCAAACAAATCCTAAGAAATAGTCCGCAGACTGATCTTAGGACGATTTTTGGACTATTGTTGAGCATCGTCCCCATTCTTTCCGTGCCCATTTCGGGCGTCCAGATCCAAGGGGGTGGGCTCCGTCCTCGGGCCGAGGGGCCGGCCCGCGGGGAACGCGCGGGGCGCCCGCGGCACCAAGCGCCGCTCGGGAGGCCCGCGCCCCACGACGCCCTCCTCCTCCTCCTCCTCCTTTTCCTCCTCCTCCTCCTCCTCCTCCTCCTCTCCTCCTCCTCCTCCTCTCCCTCCTCCTCCCTCCTCCTCCCCTCCCCCCTCCCCTCCTCCTCTTCCTCCTCCTCCTCCTCCTCCTCCTCCTCCTCCTCCTCCTCCTCCTCCTCCTCCTCCACACTGGCCAGTGGGGGGGGGGGGGCCAGGTCTGCGGTCCAACGTTCGCACCCCGCCACCTCGCCGCCCCGCCCCGCCGACGCCACAAAGTAGGTGAGCTCCGACCCGCTGCCGGTGCGGAGCGTGGCCATGCCCGGCGCCCTCTGCGGCCAGCCCCACGCCTCGAGTTCCTGGGCTGAGCAGTTCCAGTCGCCACCGATGACGAACGGAGCTCGGGCGGCGGCCAGGTAGGCTCCCGACCGCGCCAGGATGACCTTCCACTCGGCGCCGAGGCCCGCTCCACGGCCTCGCAGGCCGCGGCAGGCGTGCCCGTCTCCTGCAGGCAGGCCACAGGGCCGCTCGCCTCCGCCTGCAGCCGGCGGAGCATCCCCGACCTGGCCGTGGTGTTGGCAGAGCCGAAGCGCAACTGTTGGAGACCTGGAGATCGGCACCAACACCAACACAGGGGGTTGCCTCAACAGGGGCAAGGTTGTCCTAGATCTCGGTGTTGGTGGTAATAGTTCGGCCACCTTACCATCACCGAGATCTAAGATAATCTTCCCTCGGTGGAGGCACACCGCCGATATTGGCGTTGGTGTCAACCTCCAGGCCGGCGAAACTGGTTGCCCAGGCGGCAGCAGCGCGCCAACCGCTCCCTGGCGGCTCCGCAGGTCCGCAGCGCCTCTCAGAGTTCTCTGACCCGACGGCCAGGGCGACCTGCCCGGCGGTCGCGGCCGCAGCGCCGCCCTCGAGCCTGAGAACCCCTTGGGAAGCGGGATCCCGATCCAGTCGAGGTAGGTATCCACCTCCCGGCGGCGCTCCGTCTCGAGGCCGCCCAGGGCGCGCGGCCGCGGCCGCGGCGCCGCCCTCGAGCCTGAACCTCTTGGGAAGCGGCATCCCCCTCCCGTCGAGGCAGGTCTCCATCTCGCGGCCGCGGCCGCGGCGCCGCCCTCGAGCCTGAACCTCTCGGGAGGCGGGATCCCCATCCCGTCGAGGCAGATCTCCACCTCCCGGCGGCGCTCCGTCTCGGGGCCGCCCCGGGCGGTGCCGAGTGCGCCCGCGGCGCCGGCGCCCGCAGGAGGCACCCCCGGCAGGGGCAGCACTCGCGGCAGCGCTGCCCGCCCGCCGGGTCGCGGCAGCGGCGCTCCGCTCGGCCGCCTCGACCGCCGGGTGGGCGACGGCCGAGCGGAGTGCCGAGGAGCTCGACGGCCGCGCCGAGCTGAGCTGACGGCCGCGCCGAGCTGAGTTTTTGAGGCATGGCCTAAGAGCCGCCAGATTCGCCGACGGGGAGGAGGAGGAGGAGGAGGAGGAGGAGGAGGAGGAGGAGGAGGAGGAGGAGTAGGAGTAGGAGTAGGAGTAGGAGTAGGAGGAGGGAGGAGGAGGAGAAGGAGGAGGAGGAGGAGGAGGAGGAGGATCACGCTGGGGGCTCGCTGCATCGAGGCGGTCAACGGCCGCTTCGACGGGGTGGCCTCCTCCCCGTCGAAGCGGCCATTGACCGCCTCAGTGCAGCGAGCCCCCCAGCGTGCTCCTCCTCCTCCTTCTCCTCCTCCTCCTCCTCCTCCTCCTCCCCGTCGGCGAATCTGGCGGCTCTTAGGCCATGCCTCAAAAACTTTCTCTTACAAACCTCCTGCGGCACGGAATCTCTCGGTGCCTCTTGGGTGGGCCATCCGTGCTTCCGACGGCTTCTTGGCGGGCTGTTGGGAGTCGCGGTCGGAAATCGCAAGCACCTTTTCGGGGGGAGGGCCCGAAAGCCTCCTCGAGGGCAACTTGGACGCAGTTGAAGCATCTTGGGCCTCTCGGGAGCCATCTTGGGCAAACATCTGGACCTCTTGGGGGACCCCTTGAGGACCTCGTGGGGGCCTGATGGTGGCCTCGGGGACCCTGTGGGGTCGGAGGGCTTCAAATGTCAGTAGGAGTTCCCCATCTTGGGTCTCTCTTGGGGCCGCCTTGGGGGCTTCTCGGGCCCTCTTGGAGCGGTCCACGGCGCCTCTTTTGGGCCGTTTTCCCCGGAGGCGAATCTGCTGAAGGTGCACGCTGTCCCCCAAAAGGGATGGGAAGGTGTTGGCCTCTCGGGGATCTCTTGGGCGTCGTCTTGGAGCGCTCTTCGGGGATGGACAGACCCCCCTTTAGTAAAACGTGGTTTAGTGAAAACGACCTGAGGCCCAAACCTGGCGGGCGCAAGCCTGGGAAATAACGGCCACGGCGTCATCTCGAGAACAGAAAACGGACAATTCACTAATCGACGTGTCACTGTTGGGGGTTCTGTCCACCCCCGAGCTCTTCGGGGGTCTTGGGGGAGGTCGTCTTGGGGCTGGCACGGGGCCCTCTTGAGCTGCCCAGACGGCGGCTTGAACGATGCAGAAGCGGACCCGGGGCCCCTGCGGAGCTGGCCGGGCCCCCAGGACCTCCCCGTTGCGACAGTGGTCGTGGCCCCTGGGCCCCGCCCTCCCCGGGCCTGGTCCCCAGGTAGATGCACACACCATGGACCCACCTCGAGTCACAGTCGGGGCGGATTGGAGGACACGCGAGAGCACACGAGACCCTTCCGAGGGCCACATTATGCCGGTGGAACCTCGAGGGCACGGGTCGCGGAACACGGGACACAAGGGTATGCCCTTGTTTGGGCAGGGTCGACCTCCTGAGCACACTCGACCGTGCCTGGCTCGATCTTCGCAGGGCGATTGGTGGACAGCCATGAAGCCCTTACAGTCAAAACGTATAGTAAGGACGCAAGACCCTTGGAGGCCGAAGTTGGGTTTTTAGGGCGGCGGGCGACCAGTGATAATGGCAAGGACGAGCCTCAGAGGCGAGGACACAAGGGTACCCTAGATGAAGGCGCGCGTCCTTACTAGGCGCGTTGACTGTAGGGACTTTCCCGTGACGCCCGCGGAGGCCCGCCAGCGGGGGGCGCCGGGCTCCGCGGTGAGGAGCTTCACCTCGGTCTTGCCCCTGGTGTTGACGAACTCCCTGTGGCCCTCCAGCAGGGACTGCGGGATCATCCCGGGTCTCGGGCGCGCGGGGGCGGGGGCGACAAGGGACGGGCGATGAGGAAACTTCCTCCTCGTCGTCGTCGTCTTCCTCCTCCTCCTCCTCCTCCTCCTCCTCCTCCTCCTCCTCCCCCTGCTGATCTGAGGGGAACGTTGAGGGGGGACCAGCTCAGGGGGGGAAGCGTCGACCAAAACACGGCGATGCGTCACCGATGGATCGGCAATGCGCCCTCGATGGCGAAACAACACGCTTCTGGCCAAGGCGGGGCTATCGAGCCCCCCGCGGCGATCATGGGGCGATTGGGGCTGGATGCATCCCGCCCTGTCCCCCCCTTACGTTGCCTCTGCTCCTCCTCCTCCTCCTCCACCTCCTCCTCCCCCTCGTCCTCGTCCTCCTCCTCCCCCTCGAAAGCCACGGTGCTCCGATGACGGTCGCCACAATTCGGGTCTCCGGCGGCCGCTGGGGACGACCTGGACTTTACCGCAGCGCCCTCGGCGAGGTGCAGCTACTCGGAGACATCCCGAGGCTGGAGAAACGCCGAAAGCCCTCGAAAACTCGTCGTCCTCCGCATCGTCGTCGTCAATCTCGAAGAGGAGCACACCCTCTGAGCGTACCGTCGTCGCCCTCCGAGGGGAAGATTCCTCATCCTCCTCCTGCCTCTCCTCAGTCCCTTGTTCTTGTATTTAACTCCTCCCTGTCGGGCCCCCGGGCGTCTTGGTAGGGCGGGCTGGGCGTTTCGCCTGATAGTTCCTCGCCAGGTATGGTTGGCGAGGCGACGACTTGCGCCAAGTCGCCTCCTGAACGTCACTTTTGGGTAGTGAAGCGTCGTCTCGTCAAGGGGGCTGGCACCCCGTGTTAAAACCGTTGGGGGCACCACGTGTGATCGCAATCGCTGGTATGGACTAGCCGCCGAGGCGCGCATACGAACATGTACGCGGCCGGGTTGTAACGTCCCGCGTGCTGAAAACCATGCGCACGCGAGGCAATTACCATAGACGCCCGGACACGCACACACAAACAGATGTGTGTACACACATATATATACACACTTATTTGAACATGTATTTGTATGTATGTATCTGTGCGCCCCACTCTGGGGTTGAGACTCAATGTGACGAGGCAGCGGGCATGACAGGAGCTGCTCCTGGACGACACATCATGAAATCGAGCATGGAACATGTGCTGACAAAGTGTGCGCAAACAGAACTTTCTCACTCCAGGGCGGGCCCTGACCCTTGAAAACGGGCGGCATCCTTGCTGCGGGCTCTGACGAGAGCCCGGGTCCGCAAATAGCTACGGCAGGACGCACTTCAAAACAAGTATCCTGCTATGTGCGCCCTGGGCAATGGCCTTGCTGTTTCATGGGCCCTTCTTATGGCAAGAACCGCTGCGCACGCATGTCCTCAAATCATGGGGCAACAAGGGAGACCCTGTGATCCGTGAATCTGTGTTCGTGGTCCAATATCGGCGCACTGCGCAAGCAATCGCACTACACTACGACGCACTCCACCAACGCGACCCCAGTTTGCAGGTGGACTTCTGATTGTCGCGGATTTCGAACAATGTAGGACTCCTTCTGTGCCCCTGCGTACAAAACGCGGACGCCGCCACACAACTGGACGCCATGTGGCGCATGCTACCCATCGGGCGAAAGTGGAGGTATTCGCGCACACGCCGGATTTCCAGAGGCATGTGCGCTGCCTGGCCGTGAGGTCCCTACTCGGGCACACAAGCGGTCTGGCTATCACGGATGCGGATGGACATCTGACCCTCATGCCGGCCCTCTGGGTGTCACGGTTTCAACCAGCCGCCCCCCAATCATCAACCAAATGCTGCCCCCCAGGGCCGACATGCTTCTCGAAATCTTGGGCCCGCGACATTCTGACGGGCCCCCTGGGTGTCACGGTTGCCGCCGGCCGCCTCCAATGGCTAACAACAGGCCCTCCCGCGGTCCATCGCTGCGCGGACCTCGTTCATTCGCCGGCACAGCGGCGGACCGTTACTTCGCTGGCCCAACGGCGAAGCGTTAACGCACGCCCTGGTGCTTTGCACAGCAAGCCCCCGCAGCCCCTGACTTCCCTGAAACACCCGTTGATCCTCCGAAGCCTTGCCACTGCCTCCCTGCCGTCGCAATCACGAAAACCAGCGTCACAAACGCCTATACACAAACAGCGATACCTCAACCACCATGGGGCGAAGTCAAGGCCGCGCAAGACTAGGCGGGCTGGGTGTTGAGATCACGGCGGCTACTCCGATGCGCTGTTTGCGCCGCAATCCTGGCGCCTCACCAGAACGGAGGCGGATCGTTTTCAAACTGTGGCTCTCGCATTGGCACCGTGCATATTCGTCGTAAACGTTTGCAGCAATTTGACGGATGGAGGGCGGGCAGTTTTCACGTGTGGTTCTCGCCTTGGCGCCGCGCGTATTCGTCTTAAACCTTTGCAAGCAGTTCACGGATGGAGGGCGGGTCTTTTTCAAAATGCTGCTTTCAGCGCCGCGCGCATTCGTCTTAAAAGTTTGCTGCAACTCCAAGGACGGAGGGCAATTCTTTTTGAAAATGCGGCCCTCGCGTGAGCGCCGCGAGCGCCGCGCACAAGGATTGCAAGGATTCGTATGGTCGAAATTCCAAGAAAGGCGATCCGGCACGATTTCGAATTGTCATGACGCAACAGTAACGTCAATCTGCAGAGTTGCAGTCCTGAAGATTGTCAGGACGCAAGACCCACGTTGATTCGCGGCACTGACACCCCAGGAGCTTTGTTTTGGCACGATCGAGGATTCGCAGACGGTTGCCCTCTACTGGACCACGTCCCGCAATGAAATTACCTTCATCTAGGGACCTGTGAAGAGGAAACTTGGAAAGATGATACTTATATATATATATATATATACTAGAACCACGCGCGCGCTTCGCGCGCGCTTAGGTTCTAGGGCGGCACAGGCA